GGGTGAGGAGCCTGGAGCTGTCCCTGAAGCTTTTCCCACACTCCCCACACTTGTAGGGTCGTTCCCCAGTGTGGAGGCGCTGGTGGGTGAGGAGCCTGGAGCTGTCCCTGAAGCTTTTCCCACACTCCCCACACTTGTAGGGTCTCTCCCCAGTGTGGATTTGCCAGTGCCTGATGAGGTGGGAGTTGCGTTTGAAGCCTTTCCCACACTCAGTGCAGTGGAAGGGCCTCTCCCCTGTGTGTGTCTGCTCATGCCTGAGGAGATGTGAGTTGCGCTGAAACCCCTTCCCACATTGCAAGCACTTGTAGGGCCGTTCCCTGGTGTGGATGAGCTGGTGGGTGCGGAGGATGGAGCTGTTATTGAAGCTCTTCCCACATTCCCCACACGTGTAGGGCCGTTCCCCAGTGTGGGTATGCTGGTGCCTGAGGAGGCTGGTGCTCTTTCTGAAGCTCTTCCCACATTCCAAGCACCTGAAGGGCTTCTCCCTGCTGGGAGGCTGCTCAGGGACCACCAGCTCGGAGCTCCGGCTCAAGCTTCGGCCGCCTTCCCGGCACAGGACGGCTCTTTCCTCCTCACAGCTCCCTGGGCTGGCTTTGCAGCCCCTTCTCCGGGGGCATCTCCGGGCCTTTTCCTCCCCGCTGCCTTCCTGCGCCGGGGAGCCCTTCAAAACGGCCTCTCCCACCAGGCTCTGCCAGGGGGATTTGTCCTCCGTGCTCTCCGTCCTCAGCTCGGGGCCTGGGGCAGGAAGGAAAAAGGACAGGCAGGGGATTTCTCTCTGGCCCAGAGGGAAGGCCAAGGACATCCCCCAGATCCAGCCCCGGCAGGACGGCGGCACCAGTGGGGTTGTCCTGCAGCCGGGGGCGATGCTCGGCTGCCACAGGCACCACAAGACAGGGTCAAAGGGGCACTGACTTCCTCCTCACCTGCCTGGGGGACCTGCAGCATCTTCCTCTTCCTCGTAGCCTCCTCCTCCATCGGCCCAAACTTTGGGAAGGACAAATCCTGCTGGGGGGAAACAAGGGCTGAGCGTGTTGGCTTGGGGGTTCCTCCTGCCCAAGTCCACCTCGAGAACTCACCAGGCATCCTGGGACCATAAAAACCTCCAAAACACCAAAAAAACCCACTCTCTCTCCTCTGTGGGACTCTGGAGGTTCCACCGTCCAGGCTGCTGGGAGTCCCGTGTGTATTTGGGGTCTCCCCTCTATGGGGTCCCTGCCCTCTCCAGGCTGCTGAGGGTCCCAGGAATCCAAGGCTCCCCCATCTCCCAGCTTCAGGGTTCCGGGGGACCTCCCTCTCCAGGGTCCCCCTGCTTGGGGATACCAGGGGTTGGGAGGGTCACCAGGGTCCCTTTTCCCCTGACTCTGATGGGGGGTTCTGGGCTCCCAGGGCTTCCCCCTCTCTGGGTTCCCCCCCACCAGACTGATGGGGGTCCTGGGGTTCCCCCTTTCCAGGTTCTCCCCTTTCTGGGCTCTTCAGGGTCCTGAGACTCCCCCCTCTCCCCACTCCCCCCTCCCCAGGCTGCCAAGGCTTCCCCTTCTCCAGGCTCCCCCCACCGTCTGCACTGCCAGGGCTCCAAGGGCTCCCCCTCTCCAGGCTCCCACTTCAGTGTTTCAGGGGTCCCAAGGGTACCCCCTCTCCAGGGCCCTCTTTCAGGGTTTGGGGGTCCCCCAGCTCCAGGATGGCTCCTCTCTGCTCTCCCCACTCTGAGGCTCCTCTTCCATCCCTTCTCATCCTCCCTGCAGGACCAGCATCCACCCTTGATCTCCCCTTCCCCCTAAACTCACCCCATCCCGAGGGATTTTGGGGGCAGCATGAGGGGCTGTGGGAGCCCCTTGCTGGGGGGTCGGGCTGGAGACCCCCCAGTGCTCCCGGGACCCCGGGCTGGAGAGTTGTCACCACCTTCTGCTGCCTGGGGGACTCTGGGGGGACCTCGGCTCCCCTTGGGGCTCTTCTGCAGCCACAGAACCTGCAGGGACCTCCCCTGGGTGGGGCCTCCAGGGGTTCCAGGAGCTTTGGGCTCATCCTGGGAGCCACTGGGACTCACTGGGATCATCCTGAGATCGGACTGGGAGAGACTGGGCCACACTGGGATCATGCTGGGAGTGTCTGTAACCATACTGGGGGTGACTGGGACCACACTGGGGGCAACTGGAACTATGCTGGGAGAGACTGGGGTTCTACTGGGACTGCTTGAGACTAGACTAGGAGCCCCTGGGTGCAACTGGGATCCCAGTGGGAGGAAGAGGGAGACACTGGAACCATGCTGGGGGCAACTGGGGTCATACTGGGATCACACTGGGAGCAGTTGGAGGGGGACTGGGATCACAGTGAGGGGGACTGGGATCATACTAGGAGTGACAAGGAGCAGGCTGGGGGCACTGGAACCAGGTTGGAACCATGCTGGGGGCACTGGAACCACAACTGGGGCAACTGGAACCACACCTTGGGCTACCAGGAGCAACTCAGAGAAACTGGGATCATGCTGGAAGCAACTGGGAGTAACTGGGAAGGACTGGGTGCATGCTGCAGCCACCTGGACCATCCTGGGACTGGCTGTAATCATACTGGGAATGACTGGGATCAACTGAGGAGCAACTGGGACCATGCCTGGGACAACTGGCAGCAAGAGGCAGTGACTGGGACTATGCTAGGGGCAACTGGGACCACACTGGGAGGAACAGGAAGCAAATGGGACCATGCTGGGGGCAACTGGGATCATACTGAGAGGGACTGGGATCATACTGGCAGGGACAAAGAGCAGGCTGGGGGCAACTGGGACCATGGTGGGGGCAACTGGGACAGACTGGGAGCAACTGAAACAGAGCTCGAGGTGACTGGGTCAAACTGGGAGTGACTGGGACCACACTGAGAGTGGCTGTGAGCAACTGGCATCATGCTGCAAGTAACTGAGAGCATGCTGGGGAAGACAGGGATCATGCTGGGGAAGACAGGGATCATGCTGGGGAAGACAGGGATCATGCTAGGGAAGACAGGGATCATGTTGGGAGTGACTGGAACCAGTGGCTGCAATAATACTGGGAGTATCTGGGAGTGACTGGCATCATACTGGGGCTGAGTGGGAGCAATTGGGACCATGCTGGGAGTAAATGGCATTACACTGGCAGTGACTGGTTTCATACTGGGAGCAAGTGGAACCACGCTGGAGGGAACTGGGATCATACTGGGAGTGACTGGAAGGAACCGGCATGATACTGGCTTCATTTTGGGAATGGCAGAAAGTGACTGGGATCGTACTGGAGGTGACTGGGAACAACTGGGATTACAGTGGGTGTGAATGGAACCTTACTGGGGGCTACTGGAAACTTCTTGGCCCATGCTGGGAGCAAACTGGGATCATGCTGGAAGATACTGGATCCCATGCTGGGGGGACTGGAATCATACTGGGAGAAACTGAGCCCACACTGGGAGTCTCTGTAACCATATTGGTGGTGAGTGGGACCACACTGGCAGCAACTGGGATCAACTGGGCGTGACTGGGTCTACACTGGGGGCAACTGGGAGTGTCTGGTACCCTGCTGAGGGAGACTGGGATCATACTGGACTCACACTGGGAGTTACTGGCACTACACTGGGGCCAATTGGGACCATGTTGTGGGCAAGTGGAATATAGTGGGAGCAACTGGGCTCATACTGGAGGTGACTGGGCTCATACTGGGAGTTACTGGGCTCTGGAAAGCTCAGGATGGGCAGGGCAACCCCCCTCCCGCTGCTCTGCATTCCCAAAATTCTTGTTCCCAGTTCCCACTCTGGCCCTGACCAGCAGATCTGCTCCAGGATCCCATTCCCTGGGGGCACTTCCCTGCCCTCTCCCCGCCTTCCTGCTGCTGAAAATCAGCACTTTGGAGCCTCATCCCATTGTTTCCTCCTACTCTTCCCTATTATTATTGGGATCCCCCTACACCCTTTTTTTCCCAGGCACTGGGACCCCCTGCCAGGCCATTCCAAGTTTTCCAACACCCAGCCCCCCTTTCTTTGATTCCAGGACCCCCCTGCCTCCCCTTTCCCGGTCATCCTGCCTCTCCCACCCTTGGATCCCCCTTTTCCTTAGCTCCCATTCCTGGCCATCCCAGGTCACCTCACCCCCAGCCCCCCTTTCCTTCCCCCCAGCACCCCCTGCAGCCCCTTCCCGGCTCTCCCAGCTCTCTTTCCTTCACCTTGGGGCCACCCCAGCTCCCAAATCTCCGGGTCTCCCCAGTTCCCCACTCCCAGTGCTTCCTGCAGGTGGTCTTGGGGTGTCCCAGAGACTCCCTGAACCCCCCATTCCTGTGCACTGAGACACCCCCCTGCAGCCCCTTATCCGGGACCAGGACCCCCTGCACCCCCTTCCCCGGCCATCCCACCTCTCCCAGACCCCACACTCCCTTTGCCTTGACCCTGGCACCCCCTGGACCCCCAGCCCTGCCTCTCCCAGTCCCCAACCCCCCCGTTTCCTCAACACCCAGGACCCCCTGAACCCCCTGCTGGGACATCCCAGGTCTCCCCACCCAATGAATCACCTTTCCCTGACACTGAAGGCCCCTGGACTCCCCTTTCCTGGGCACAGGGACCCTCTAGACCAAGCCTAGTGCTAGTCCCTACATTCCCCTTTTTTCCTTTATTTTGGAGCCCCCTTGAGCCCACACTCCTGGCCACAAGGACGCCCTGCACCCCCTAATCCTGCACCAATAGCCCCCTGCACTCCCTTTCCTGCCATTCTCTGTCTCCCTACCCACTGAACCCCCCTTTCCCTGACACTGAGGACCTCTGGATCCCCCTTTCCTGGGCACAGGGTCCCCCTTGGCTCTCCATCCCCCCTCTCCAATCTCTGTACCCCGCTTTCCTTGGCCCTGGCACCCCCGGGAACCCCCTTCCCCAGCACCCCCACGACTCAGCCCAAAATAACCCTCCCACGAGTTGCCCCTCTCTGCTCTCTCCACTTTGGGGTCCCAAGGGTTCCCCCTCTCCGGGCTCCCCGTTCCGGGCTCCCAGGGGTCCCCCTCTCCGTGCTCCGGGCTGCCAAGGAAGAGCCTTACCCAGGAACACCAACCCCCAGTGCGGGGGGGACCCGCATCCCCCCGCCCACCGCCGGCAACCCACCCCGGCACCCCCAAAAACACCTCCCGGGGACCCCCAACATCCCCCCAGGGCTCACCTGCGCCTCAGCTTTGGGGTCCTGCAAGATCCAAACCTCCTCTCCCGCAAAAAACAACCCCAAACCCCCCAAGCCCAGAGCCCCCCCAGCCAGTCGGGGCTCGGCTCTGCAGTCCCGCAGCTCTGGGGGGCACTGGGGGCATCGGGGGGCTCTGCTGGGCCTTGGCAGCAGCGCCTGGCAGCGCTTGGGCAGTGTGGGGGGAGCTCCTGCCAGTGCTGCCCACAAGAAAACACAAGAGCTGCGGCCACGTGTGCGGG